TTTCAGTTCTTTTGGGTACAGGAGCTATTTATTTTTGAAGTGAGAATTTGGGGGGCTCTCTTGTCCCCTCTTGGTGCCAGCCAGGAGCTCTGTCTTCCCACTTTATCTCTAAATAAAAGCCTCTCACTTGCTCTCCCACCTTGAGTGTTTGCGACGTTCATTCTTTGACTCTGTGAACAAGAACCCCGGCATCATTTTTGGGGGCTCGTCCGAGATAAGCTCAGAGATGGGAGCATCCTCTTCAAGTTTAAAGCTAGACCCGCCTCTGGCATGCATTCTAAAGAGTTGGGAGCAATTTGATCTGCAAACCCTGAAAAAAGTGCCTTATTTTCTGCACACAAGCCTGGCCTCAATACAAATGCTCTGATTAGAGAGGCTTGGCCCCTGAGAGAAGTGTACAATAATATAATCAGGTTATGCATATAAGTTTATTTGGCCACAAGGAAGGAAAATGGTCAAAAGTCCTGTGGACTACTACAGTATGGAACTGGTTTTCTAAATCCTTTTATTGGAAATCTATTCTACTTATGGGGTTCTTAATTATCCTCAAAAATTGGGAGGTTTTTAAACTAGACTCCCTGAGACAGAAATTTATCTTCTGCAATACAGCCTGGCTTAAATCTTTCAGAAGAAAAAATGCTTAAAGAGAGAAAGGCTTGACTTTGTCATGTTTAGTGAAGGTTTTGTTAAGTAATCTTGCATGGTTGTTAAGAATGAATGATCTAACTAAGTGTAGTAACTGAACTTCTTAATAATTGTGTGTTTCAGTGTGTATACCAACATATGGCTTGAAGATCTTTATAGTAACCTAAAATCTTAAAGTTTTGCTAAGTAGACATATTTTGTGCTTATTGAGAAATTGTACTGTAAAGCACATTTCCAGGAGTTATAAAATGTGTTCATAAATTTGTCAATCTAAAGAATGCTAGCATTACAGTTTATAATAGCTTCTTAGTGTTCACTGAAAACTGAAGTTTCTAATGGTTTTAAGTTCTGATTAAAACTACTTAAAACAATAAGGAAAACATCTCTGCATGCTAAAAATCATGTGTTTTAATAAGAGAAGCTATAAGGAATGAAAATGCATTTTATTAAGGGTAAAAGAAGGTAACTGTTTTTACAGTACAGCTGGTTATTTAAAGAGGGAGAACTCTAAAAAAAGTTGTAGAAAGTTTGTGGATGAATTGTTATGGTCATGCTATGTGAAATTAAGCAAATGAGTCTTGATATTAAGTACACAGCAAAGTTAGAATTTTCTTTTCTGTTAAAAGGACAAAGTTTTCTTAAACTATTAGTCTGTTCTTGATGTTGAAAGATTGCAAAGCATTTTTTAATTGTTTTATCAAAGCAGAGTTTCTCATGCCTAAAGTCTCCATGTTTAAGGGCATAAATTCCCTTTCTGTGATGCTACAAAGAATTTAACTACCATTATAGCTCTACTTCAACTGCAAAATGCCTCCAATGTGCCAATTCTCAATGCAAATAATCATAGATATAAAGGTAGATTTTTTTCAGATCTGGGACGAGTACATTTGGGTTACTCCAACTGCAGGATGCTTAAATCAAAACGCTCCCCTCTGCTGGGAGCAAAGAAACCGTTCTAACAACCATTGCCCAAGCTTCACCTGATATTTAGGCTGGCTTCCTAAAGACCACTGTTCATGTGTAATAACTTGACAGGGTACAGATTGGCTTGCCATTCGTCCGAGATAAGCTCAGAGATGGGAGCATCCTCTTCAAGTTTAAAGCTAGACCCGCCTCTGGCATGCATTCTAAAGAGTTGGGAGCAATTTGATCTGCAAACCCTGAAAAAAGTGCCTTATTTTCTGCACACAAGCCTGGCCTCAATACAGATGCTCTGATTAGAGAGGCTTGGCCCCTGAGAGAAGTGTACAATAATATAATCAGGTTATGCATATAAGTTTATTTGGCCACAAGGAAGGAAAATGGTCAAAAGTCCTGTGGACTACTACAGTATGGAACTGGTTTTCTAAATCCTTTTATTGGAAATCTATTCTACTTATGGGGTTCTTAATTATCCTCAAAAATTGGGAGGTTTTTAAACTAGACTCCCTGAGACAGAAATTTATCTTCTGCAATACAGCCTGGCTTAAATCTTTCAGAAGAAAAAATGCTTAAAGAGAGAAAGGCTTGACTTTGTCATGTTTAGTGAAGGTTTTGTTAAGTAATCTTGCATGGTTGTTAAGAATGAATGATCTAACTAAGTGTAGTAACTGAACTTCTTAATAATTGTGTGTTTCAGTGTGTATACCAACATATGGCTTGAAGATCTTTATAGTAACCTAAAATCTTAAAGTTTTGCTAAGTAGACATATTTTGTGCTTATTGAGAAATTGTACTGTAAAGCACATTTCCAGGAGTTATAAAATGTGTTCATAAATTTGTCAATCTAAAGAATGCTAGCATTACAGTTTATAATAGCTTCTTAGTGTTCACTGAAAACTAATGGTTTTAAGTTCTGATTAAAACTACTTAAAACAATAAGGAAAACATCTCTGCATGCTAAAAATCATGTGTTTTAATAAGAGAAGCTATAAGGAATGAAAATGCATTTTATTAAGGGTAAAAGAAGGTAACTGTTTTTACAGTACAGCTGGTTATTTAAAGAGGGAGAACTCTAAAAAAAGTTGTAGGAAGTTTGTGGATGAATTGTTATGGTCATGCTATGTGAAATTAAGCAAATGAGTCTTGATATTAAGTACACAGCAAAGTTAGAATTTTCTTTTCTGTTAAAAGGACAAAGTTTTCTTAAACTATTAGTCTGTTCTTGATGTTGAAAGATTGCAAAGCATTTTTTAATTGTTTTATCAAAGCAGAGTTTCTCATGCCTAAAGTCTCCATGTTTAAGGGCATAAATTCCCTTTCTGTGATGCTACAAAGAATTTAACTACCATTATAGCTCTACTTCAACTGCAAAATGCCTCCAATGTGCCAATTCTCAATGCAAATAATCATAGATATAAAGGTAGATTTTTTTCAGATCTGGGACGAGTACATTTGGGTTACTCCAACTGCAGGATGCTTAAATCAAAACGCTCCCCTCTGCTGGGAGCAAAGAAACCGTTCTAACAACCATTGCCCAAGCTTCACCTGATATTTAGGCTGGCTTCCTAAAGACCACTGTTCATGTGTAGTAACTTGACAGGGTACAGATTGGTTTGCCACAGATTGTACAACCCGCCCTGGTATCCGTTGGCCAGCCCCAAACGGCATTCACTAGCTGTGTGGAACTAATCCCTGGTCCTGGCTCATTCCACAGTGGATCGAGAGGTGCACTTTGGGATTTCCTTGGTTGCAAGGATGTTGGGCTAAGAATATCCCACATCCTGCAAAATTCCCAAGCCTTCAACATCAATGGACAAGGAGTGTTTTTCATTGACATGATCACCTACCTCCATTTTTATATCATCTCTTGGTTTAGAAGATGCAATTTGGCATATCAAATCCTTAACCAATTTTACTCACAAGGCCTTTAATGGTACTATTGAAGGAATAGCTCTCCTAAATACTAAAATTAACTAATGCACCAAGCAGTTGTACAAAATAGAATGGCACTAGACATCTGCAGCACAGGGTGGGACCTGTGCTATAATTAAAGTTGAATGTTGTGTGTACATTCCATATTATTCACAAAATGTCTCATTCACTCCAGGACATCTGAAAGCTAGTCCAAGCTATGTCAGGCCCAGAAGTCCCATGGACTACTACGACATGGAGCTGGTTTTCTAAATCCTTTTGAAGCCATAAAACTGCAAATGGGGATGGAAATGGGACCCCAGATAGAAGTGCCCATCTTCCGAGGCCCTCTGGACTGACCAGTGATGGAGACCTAGCTGCACTCTTCACTGCACCCCCTCTCGGCTTGAAGCAGCCAGAGCGGTCGTTGCCCCCTTTCCCTAGCAGCAGCTAGGGTCTCCATCTGTAGAGGGGGGAATGAGACAGGGACCATGAGCTTTTAGACAGAGTAGGGGGAGAGCCTCTGGAAGAAACAAAGCAGGACAATCCATTGTGGGATTTGCTTTGGCTGCTGGGGGGCCCAGATTGTTTTTCTGACTTTACCCAGGTGCTGCCTTTCTTCCTGCCGCCCTAGTCAAGTGCTGCGCCACCTGGGCAGTTTCTAACAAGCAAGCCCAAACCAAACAGGAAGGATTCCATCTTGAAAATCATTTTAAAACCCAATTAGTTATAAAGTAAGTTTCTTAATATACTCTTTAACAAACAGACAAAAACTCAGCCCACCTTGGGAGCAAAGCAGGCAGTCTTGAGTGATAAGCTCCCAGACCAGGAAACTGCTATCCTGGGAGGAAATCAGAGCAGTTAATTTCTTATAAATAACCAGGAAGACTAATAAGAAACTTAATGTCTCTTCAAAGATAAACATTTTGGGACCACTTAGCAGGTGTGCATCCCTAGCCCTTTGTCTCTCAACTGCCTGTAAAACCCCTAGACAGTGCATCGCCCGGGGGCTCTCTCGTTCCCTCCTGGCCTGAGCCAGGAGCTCTGTCCTCTCACTTTATCTCCAAATGAAAGGGTCTACCTTGCTCTCCTAAAAAAAAAAATTTGGAAGATTAATTTTGCTAACATATTTTTAAATTTCCCTTAGGATAACTGCTCTCAAGTGAGAATGTTTTAGATACTAACACTAGAATTTTTAACATTTCCTTCATAAAGACAAAAATCCATTTTTTCCCCCCCCAAACCTTGCAGCCTCCTGACCTTCAGTCATGCAGCCTCAAACTGCAGGCCAGCTCTGGCCCTTCTTTCTGGGGAACCTGGGCTCCCCCCAGTTTTTTTGGGTGCTCAGCGTAGCTTTCCTATTAGATCCACGGTGTCACTGGCCTGCCCAGGTGAGCTGTGCATGGCCACTGGTGGTGAGGGTCATATACCTTCTACTTTGCTCCGTTCACAAGCCGAAATGCTCTTTGCTAAGAGCAAATCTGGGCATGGCCCAGAGCATCTCTTGCCTGGTGAATTTTCCAGATGAGACTTTTGAGGATAAGGGTATGACCCTGCATCTTCCATACTCAAAGAAAAAAGTGAGCAGCAGGCTTCATAGAGTAAGGAAAGTCTGAACCAAATGTCTGCATCCTCCCTTGCAAGGACCGTGGGCTACCTGTGGTCTGTAGGCCATGCAGTGGTGTTAACATTTTAAAATTAGTTGCCAATATTAAAAACTTGGACACTCATGTAGAATCTGAGTGTCAGCTTCTCTGGAATAGCTCAAGAGATCTGGTTGTGCTGGTTTCTGTGAGCCTCTACCCACCTACGTCCTCTCCATCAGGGGGCCCCTGCCTGGGCCCTGTAGGCACTGGGGTTACCTCTCCCAACTAGAGACCAAATAGCCTCAAGCAGCCTACTGACCCCAGAGGTCATCTGCCCTTGAAATACAGCCCACTGTCTGTCTGTCTCTTTTACAAAGTAGCTTGTGGGCACCAGGAATTCTGCTTTCATGGGCATAAGGAATGGCAGTGTGTTTCCAAGAAGCAGCCTGCCATTTGCAACACAGTGTTAGAGGATGCTCTCCATGAGAGGAGTGCATGCGATTTGGGTTTGTCTCGGGTTCTGGACATCTTTAAGCTTTATTTGAGAAAGGGTGGAAGTGGGGCTTTCTGGTTACCTTGTAATGCAATGAAAACATTCTTTAAAATTTTTTTGAAACAATCACAAACGCACAAAAAAGTTCAAAGCAGTACACCACTTGTTCTGAACCCTTTGGGAGTGCATGGCTGATTTGACTCCATCACCCCTCATGCTTATAGTATTGTATAAACAAGGACGGTCTCTTTAGAAACATGGCACAACTTCAGAAACAGGGAATTATGGGTGGTACATTGTCACCAACTGATCCTCCTGCCCCAGTTGCTTTCACCAGTAGCTCAGCAGTGGTCTTCACAGAAAAGGGTCCTGCTCAGTCAGGTGTTGCAGTCAGTCCTTGGCCCTTGCACGTGGAATTGGGACTAAGGTAAGGGGAGGGAGGTGCAAACTATAAGGGGATGCAAAAAAACAAACAAACAAAACTCTCAGTATGCAAGATAAATAATGTTTTAATATAATATTTTTAAATTTAAAATTAACCCATAAAATCCCCAATGAACAAAATACCGGACAGGTAAATAAAGGCAGGCTCAGTGTTACTGATTCTTTCTTTGCCTGGGGCTCCAACATGGCTCCACACAGCCCTGCTCTTTTTCTCCTGGAAGTCTGTGGCTGTTCCTTGCTGATTTCTTGACTTTCATGATCTCAGCACTTTCCAGCGTCAGGCCAGTATCCATCCCTCCATCTGGGTTTGTCTGCTATTCGCTCATGATGAGGTTCAGGTCCTGCACCTTTGACTGGAGCCTCACAGAAGGGACACCTAATTCTCTGAATCTGACTGCATGGCCCACATTCCAGTTTCTCCCATTGCTGGGGAGGCTCTTGTAGATCCCTCGATTAAGGGGGTTTGTCTGCCTAGATTCCCATTATAAAGTTTCTCTTTTCCCCTTTATAATTAGTAAGCATTTTGTGGAAGGTACTTTGAAACTATGTAAAAATGCCTATTCCTATGAAACTTGGAAGGTATTACTTATTTTATTTATATGGACTCATGGTTTCCTATTTTATTCATGGATTATGACAGACTAGGGAGATCATTTATTTGATGCTCACTTGTCCCCAGTTTGGCCCATGGGTGCCCTTCAGTCTTTTTTCTGTGTCTTGGAATTCTTCGAGCCTTTTCCTGTTCTCTGCCCAAATGGGGATTTATAAGTCCCTGTTGAACTTTCCCACCCTAATCCTGGAATCTGCCATTTCTCCAAGGAACCCTGGTTTCTTTTAGTAGAAGTGGTGTTCAGAAAGCAAGACCTAGATTCTGGGCTGGCTCATTGCTATTGGGGTATCCCTGCTCACAGGCCTGTCCAGGGGGAGATGGGGATGTATGTCTGTGTTGCACGTACACTCTTGCATGCGTATTTATTTCTCCATCTATGTATGAACATGGAGATCCAATGCCAGTTCAGCACCACAGACTTCTTTCTAGTTTTCCCCCTTCCATGTACCACTTTCTTCTCCAACAGTGAGAAATCTGGCCCCCATTGCCCTAATGTATTACATATTTGATCAGTCCCCCTGCAGGTAACCAGCCTGCCCTGTGTTCTGTCTATACCTGCCTGTGTGGACACCCTCCTCACCCTGCTTGGGTTCTGACTCCCAGAGTAGGCTGCCCACACCCCTTTCCCAGCATGGACATCTTCCTTGTCTGCTCTGGGCCACCCTCATTTCCTCCCCCTACCACCTACAAAGAATCTGTGCTTTGTCCCTTGATGGCTTTGGGACAGATCTTTTTCGGGAGGAGGTGTCTTAGCTTTTCTTCTTCTTTTTCTTTTTTTATTAAGGTATTGTTGATATACACTCTTATGAAGGTTTCCCATGAAAAAACATTGTGATTACTACATTCCTCCATATTATCGTGTCCCCCCCCATATACCTGATTGCAGTCACTGTTCATCAGTGTAGTAAGGTGCTACAGTGTCACTATCTATAGCTTTTATTTTTCAATCAAAATAAAAATAAAAGGGAAGCTGGGTTTTGAAATCTGGCAAACTAATTCTGGACAACTGTAAAGAAATCTTTAATAGTAGGTGGTTTAAAATGAAAGATCTTCAAAGTAAACATTGTAGAGTTTTTCAGATGGCTCTTCATGGACATTAAAAGTATAGGTTGAGGCCATATAAATAAAAAGCATCCTCATCTGCAGTCAGACCATTTGGTCTGGCAACTTCTGTGAAGAGAAGATGAAGTCTATTAAGTAAAAATTAATGATTTTTCAGGAGTTTGTAGGAAGTTGAGCAGCTTAATTGCATGCTTTGGGTGGATCTGTGTTGAAGAAAGCAATTTTAGGAGAGTAGGAAATTGTGCAATAATCTTAACTTGGGTCAGAATTGTAATTATTGCAGTAGCAGAATGTTGTGTGTATATGTGATCGAAATGGGAAGCAGGGTTGTTTTTTAAAAAATGCTTTTAAAAATAACAAAATGTCCATTCTCTCTTTCTGGACCTCCTTAATTATAAATACCAGGTAACCCAGTGCTGGCTAAATATAGGTTCAGTGGCCATCTATGTTTATACCTTTTTTCAGGCGGAAGCCACCAGAGCAAGACAGAATTAATTTGGTGTGTAGGTTTTTATAGGCTCTAATTAGTTATGTTTTCCTTAAGCAGACCAACTGGGATCAATAACATTATATAACTGAACTATGACGCCTGTGACTTTTAAACATAGCCACTTCCCCAAAAGCCAAGGCCCTCAGAAGATGCTGGTCCTGAAAATCAGCAGCTCCGGAAGCCAGCATGCAGCTGTGGACAGACAGGGTTTGGAACATATGTTTCCAACCAAGGGCAGGCTTTGGGACTGATAAAGTGAATAGTTTTTTGCAAAGTCAGAAGCCTCATCTACAGCCCATTCATTTCTGAGACCTTGAATTGTGACATTTCATGGCTGCTTATCAGCTGTTCCCATGAGGCAGGTTTAACTGTCCTGGCCTGGGGAGGGGTGGTGGCCTTTTTGTACACTGACTGAAGTATGTGCTGAGCCAACCCCCCACCAAAACCCAGCTTGCTGACTCTAGGGCTTCCAGAACTGCACCTGTGTCTGAGGTCACGTCCACTGGAGGGCTGAGTGGGCGGGTGGACCTTTGGAACGATCAGATGTCCTTTGGGGTGGGCTCAGCATGTTCATCAGTGACTTTGCTGCAAATCAAACATGATAAATTAGATGGGGCTCCCTTCCCACATTCCTCAGGATCTGCAAAAAAATGCCACATTTTCTTTTCCTTTGGGAAGGCAGGGTGTGCCTTAGCTACTGGCACCCACTGGTCCCTCAGACCTCACACCTGCCCTGTGTAAGTAGGGAGGGAATTTGAAGCTGGCTGTACTCAGATTTACAGGAAAAAACAAAACAAAACAGGACAAGAGAGGCTCTTTCTGTAAATATCCCCAGCCCAGTCCTCTCCCCCACCGCACTTGGTTTCGGGCCCCTTCCTTGTTTGGCTTTGCAAGCTGTTTACACTCGTCCCCACGTGGGGTCACCGAGATGCTTCCCCTCGATGCTTCCCCTCCTCGACTCGTTTGCTCACCATGAGGGAAGGGTGCTGGGCCGCTTGGACGGAACCCAGAGCCATGCTCTGCTTGCCTTGCTCAGCCCGCGTCCCTGGGAGTGCAGGCCGGCTGGGCCTCACCCAGGCCACACAGCTGATGGGCGGTCTGCCTGACTCCACAGCCTCAGGCCTGGCCTGGGAAGAGGCCATAGAGAGCCCAAGAGCCCAAAAGGCAAGACAGCACCCTGGTCTGGGAGGCAGGGGTCTCAGCCAGATCTGGCCTTGGACTAGGGCCGTGCAGAACAGTTGTGCATAGGTGGAAATGGAATGACGTATGTGTCCTTCCGGGGTCACGTGAAGTCTGTTCATTTCACCAGACATTTTTGGAGTTCCTGCCATGCACCAGATGCTGCCAGGACTAGGATTTACAGATGAGAGTCTCTGCCTTTGAGAGCTTACTGTGGAAAGTGGGAGTGGGGATGGGCTGTGATAGCCACATGTGGCAGACCTGGGTGGGTGGCGGTGGGTGGTGGGCAGGGTCAGGAGGGGTTCTGGGAGGGGTTCCTGGAGACAGTGGTAGCTGAAGTGATGGATAAAAATGGGTGGGAGCTAGACTTGTTAGTGTGAGGCAGCTGGTGTGAGCAGGCTCGAGGGTGTGCAACAGCAATATGTGAAACACATACGTCCAGCTTCACGGGAAGACAGAGGTGAGGCTGTCAGGCCTGGCCTGGCCTGGGGAACCTTTCTGCACCACCTGGGGGCTCATGCTTCACCCTCTAAGAGGAAACAAGCTCCAGTGGGAATGGCAGGGCAGTGCTGCAGACTAGGAGGCCAGCAAGGGCTCTGCCTGTGGTTGGAGCCGCGTGATGGGGCTGCCTGCACTAGGGTGGGGAAGGTGGGGTGCAGCCAGCTGGGAACCATTCAAGTCGTTCCCAGAGAGTTTGGTGGTCCTGGATGCACACAGAGGTTGGAGATGCCACTCATGAAGACAGGGAACTCCTCCAGAGGAGGAAGAGATTCGGCGGGTTGGTGAGGGAGGCACAGTGAGGTTGACCTCAGGGTGGCTGCTCTGTCTGTGGTGGGAGTCATCGGGGGACACACACATTGGATGCTTGCATCCCAGACACTCTGCCACAAGTAGAGCAAAGTCGGCCTGACCTCTGAAGGACTCAGCCTTTGGAGAACAGTGTGCATGAGACCTGGGGTGGGAGCGGCTCCACAGAGGAGCCAGTCTGAGCAGAGCCTGGATGGCCAGCAGGAGTGGCCAGGCAGGGAATTGGACATGTTCCCTGGATGTTCTCCATGTCTCCTGGGGAGAAGTTTCAGAATCCACATGCCCAGTGGCAGCCCAGACCTCTGCAACCAGAACCTCCCTCTGGGGGCAGATTTGTTCATGCTGTCAGGTGATTCTGACCAAGGCCGTGAGCCATGGACTCAGAGGTTCTGAATTTTGGCAACTAGCAGCGGCCCACTCAGATGCTGCCCACTCAGGAGGTCCACTCGGGTGTGAGGGCTGTGGGAAAACCCAAGACTTGCCCGGCTGCATTTCAGAGCCATTTACTTGTGAATCTTGCGTAAACACACACCTATGCATGCTTATGTATATACACATATCTGAATATATACACAAGTGTACATATACAGACACATCTATATACATACATAAATATACACACTTATTTATCCATATTCACACACATATACACAAACCTGAATATATACATGTATATGCACACCCATATATCCATATACATACATTCATGTATAAACACATATCTGAATAGACACATAAACATGCACCATCCATATACATACATACATACACACAAATACTCGAATACAGACATATATACACACACAAATACATGCACATTCATATGTGTAAATACAAACATACGTATGTACACACATACATGAACATACAGACACATACAACAAACATGCACATCTGTATACATATGCTCACATGATGATATAATGGGATACATATGACCTGGAATATAGTATATGTCTCCCATGTTTTCTGAACTGGAGTGAAGGAAAGTGAACAATCATGGAGGCTCTAGGTTGTACAGGAACAAAACTGCTTCTGAGGACGAGACCCAAGGAGAGTAGCATTTTCCCTGTGGCAGCTAATATTGTACGTGTGGCAAGAGGCATGTGTGATGGTTAAGAATGTGGACTCTTAAGTTCAAACCCTAACTGTGCAACCTATTGAAGATGTCTTGACTACCCTGTGCCTCAGTTTCCCCATCTGTAAATGATAATCATAGCATCTACCTCGTGAGGCTGTTGATAGTCAAACAAGTTAACACATCTAAACTCTGAGCTTGCTACCTAGGATGGGGTACCTAGGTGTGCTCAGCAAGCATCAGCTGCTCTTGCTTTAAGCCAGGAGCATCCAGTTAAAGTTGGGGTCCTTGATGGCTGGGAGACAGGAGGAGGGGGAATTGCTGCTCCCTGCTAACTCTGTATACCATCCATATTTTATACTGGGTGCATATATTGCCTAGACCTTTTAAAATATCTAATAGAGTGTTCTATTAAAGAGGAACCATATTCAGCTCTCTTCACTGTGGTTCTTTGATCTCATTTCTTCCAGTGTTTTGGCCGAGAACATTTAGCAAGGTTTTTAATGATGTTTTAATGTGACCAATTTTATCCACTAATGTGTATAATTACATATCAGTGTTGAGTAAAGAGACATAAGCATTACATATTCAGCAGATTGTTCATTTTCTTGGATGGTGTGTTAAGAGACTGGCTCTCATTAGTATTGTGAAAATACCACAGAGAAGAAAGAGAAAAAATACTTACCGACATTTTACTATGTGACTTTTAAAAAAAACAAACTCTTGGAGACTAGAGATGGGATGGGATCCATGGGCGAGGAGCAGACTGAGGTTCCGGAAGGGCTCAGAGCTGAGCACCATGGTTGGCAGCTTGGGATGTGGGGGGAGAATTTCTCTTCCAGTGTCAGGGAGGGCAGAAAGAGGAGGCTGCCAAGACTCTCAAGCAGCAGCATTCTGTTGAAGCCACTGCCCCCTCTGAGTATAAAGGCAGGCGGCTTAGACGCTGGTTTGAGAAGTGGTGTGTAGGGCACATGAGTGGTGACCACAGGAAAACAGGGGGCCCTGGTGTAAATACTGCCCCCGGCCATGGACAAGGCATAGCAGCCCAGGATGGCCAGGGCTGCTGAGCTAGAGGGAGTACCTGCTTTATGTCAAATAAAAATAAGACTATTTCTTACTCAGGAGGTTACTTTGAATTTAAAAAGTCTTTCTGCTGCCCCCACTATTCAATTTATTTATGATTCCAGCTCTTGCCAGTGTGACCCTGAAGGCGTACCAAAAGTGTAACAATAATCTGAAGCCCTAATTTGTATATCTGTGTGTCATTGGACGTCAGATGTTGTCACTTACTTGGGCAGACTGGGGAGATTGTTGGTTCAGGAATCAAGAGCTCCTGAGTATAAGAGGCTTAACTTCCCTGGGCCTTATCTTCCCATCTGCAAAATGAGTCCGTCTTTGTGGTTCTTTCCCACACCCCTATCTGTGAATCAGGGCTAGTGGCCACATCTGCAGAGTGACCCTGCCAGAGAATGGGGGGGCCTTCCAGCCTGCCATCCTGTCCTACCCTCATGAAGCACCCAGAGATTGGAAGGAGCAACTCTGTGAGTTGGGAAGGGCGTAACTGGTGCTGACACTGCTGTGGTAGGTAACTGAGAACCTGGGAAGGACTGAGACGGGTCGGGGAGGAGGAGGGGGCTCTATTGTAAATGCTGCATCATCCAAGCAGAGACGGCGCTCACTGGGCTACGTCCCATGTGCAGTCAGGCTGCGCCTGTCTCCTGCTCTGCTTCCCCTTGATCTTTTCTGACCTTTTGTCCATGATAAAAACCACACATTCCTGACCCATGCCTATTGTTGAGGGAGAGCTGTGGCAGGAGGCAGTGCAGAGTGACTTAGACAGGTGGGAGTGACCTCCTGGGGCAGTAGGCAAGGGAGGGTCCTGGAGAAAGGACACTTGAACGACTAAATGAGATGCTGAAGGTGCTGGGATGGCAGCTGCACCTGTGTTTCTGAGCAGAGCCCCAGGTGTAGACTGGTAGTCCCCAGCTGTAGAGAAGCACGTTCAACATTAGAGACTTTGGTGGACTCCCAAAACATGCTCAGCAGTGAATGTTCTAAATCACAGGTTGGCACCCTTTTTCTGTAAAGTCCATGTATGAAACATTTGAGGCTTGTGGGCCAGAGGGTCTCTGTAGCAACTACCCAACTGCTATCATAGTATGAAAACAGCCATGGGCAGTTGTAAATGAATGGCTGTGGCTGTGCTCCTATAAAGCTTTATTTATAAAAACAGGAAGTGCTTATATGCCCAACAGAATTGAAAGCAGATCATCAGTAGATGTTATACACCCGTGTTCATAGCAGCATTTTTCTCAATAGCCAAATGTAGAAGTGACCCAAGTACCCATTAGTGGGTGAATGGGTAAACAAAATGTGGTCCACCTATGCAATGGAATATTACCTAACCTTAAAAAGGAAGGAAATTCTGACACCTGCTACAATGGGATGAACCTTGAGGACATCAGGTTAAGTGAGATAAGCCAGATACAAAAGGGTAAAATGATTCCACTTATATGCGCTACCCAGAGTCATCAAGTTCATAGAGACGGAAAGTTGAATGGTGGTTGCCAGGGGCTGGGGGAGGAAGGAATGGAGACTTAGTGTTCAATGAATACAGAGCTTCAGTTTGGGGAGATGAAAAAGTTCTGGGGATGATAATGGTGATAGCTATACAACATTGTGAATGTATTCAGTCCCGCTGAACTATACACTTCAAAATGATTAAAATGGTAAAAGTAATGTAAATATTGCTGCAATTGAAAAAATTAAGATAAAGAACAAGGTGGGCCAGGTTTGGCCCATGGACCATAGTTTGTTGACCCCTGCCCTGATTGAATTAGTGTTTTATTAACCACAGCATGTGTTTAACAGACAGGCTTTGGGAGGACAGTGTAGCCCCCCTGCTCTGAGGATGTCAGTCAGTGGTCTGCAGGCAGTGCCTTGGCGCCAGTGAATCAGGGCCTCTCGGTGTCTCAGCTCCCTCCCTGGGATCTGGGCCCTTCTTCCTTCTCTCCTTTTCTTCTCTTTGCAGTATTTCTAGTATGTGGCAACCCTTTCTGTCCCGGGCCTTGCATCAAACTGTCTGGCTTATAATTTGCCTGACTCTCAAATCTTTGGTTGTGAGAAAGAAATGTGGCTGCTTCCCATGCCCTCAGTCCTGCTCCATGGTGACCAGATGGTGGATGGCGGCACACAGAACCTCAGAGGGACCCGGGGGCCACTTTCAGATTGAAGAATGGCCAAAGACCTGATCCCTATTTTTTTTCTGAAACAGATTCCAGCTTCTTCTGCAGCTGACTCTGTAAGGGCAGGAGGACAGCCCTGGCTGGTGTCCCTTGTCCCCTATGTTGTGAGTGGTCCTTCCCAGGCCCTCAGCCCCCATGCTAGGCTGGACATGTTTCCAAACAGAGGGGACACTGGCCACTGCTGCCCCTGGGGGTGATTTGCCTGGTTCGCTTGGTGATGACCATCTGTCCTTCCCTTGGATTGCTCGAAGAGAACAACTCTCAAGCTCAGACCCTTTGAGGCATTGCTAAGCATGGTCACGGTGGCCTAGAGGCAGGGGGCCGGATGGCGTTCAGATTGACCTTTGGAGAGAGGGTTGGCTGCCTCTGGCCTGTCTTGGCTGCCCTAAGGCCAGGTGCTGCCCTGAATGGCTTACAGAGCTGCCTTGACTTAGGTCTGCTTAGGGTCAGCAACTCCACAATTAATCCACTCTCTTGCCAGCAAATTTGATTCATCTATGAGTTTCCCCACATCCCTGAATAGGAATTGACTGGAATGCCCAGAGGTAAAAGACCAAAAGTTGTGAAACATCTCCCAGGGATGGTGGCAGCCTATAAGCGAACATGCTGATCAAACACTGCTGTAAATTAAGACTCCACAATTGCTTCTGTTGCTAAATAACAGCTCTGGCATTCTTTAGGAGGAGATTTTTGACATATATAGCAATTAACTTTGTTGAAGAAGTGAGCAAGGTGATTTATCTGTAGGAGGATAAATCAAAGTGCTTTTGTGCAAAATAGGGCAGAAATAATGAGGTTTATGATGGCAGAAACATGTCTTGAGGTAGAAAATGAACTGAGAATCATAATTGCAGAAAGCCATTTATTGAGCACTTATTACCTGCTTGGTGCTCTGCTAAGCTCTTCATATATATTTAGTAAGTCTTGGAGCAACCCTTCAAGGTGGTAGTTACTAATCTCATAAGGAAGATGAGACTCAGAGAGCATCTCAACGCCAGTTCATCCTACAGGAAGGGGTCAAGTGGGAATGCAGACCCAGATTTCACCAAAATCCAAAGCATTCTGGACCTGGTGAGGAATGGAGGAGGCTTAGAAAGGAGCCAGACAGAGAATTCCAGCTCCCTGTACCAGCAAGCATTTGCTGAGCACCCTCTAAACTAGGCACTATGTGGATGATACCTACTGATATTTCGTGAGTATCATAGTATTCAATATTCTGTGGTTGTATGTGACAGAAATGCCCTGGAACAAGCTTCAGTGGAAAAGGAGGGTCTTCATTTCAAGGGCAAAGGGGTAGCACCCAGAGATTGGAAGGAGCAACTCTGTGAGTTGGGAAGGGCGTAACTGGTGCTGACACTGCTGTGGTAGGTAACTGAGAACCTGGGAAGGACTGAGACGGGTCGGGGAGGAGGAGGGGGCTCTATTGTAAATGCTGCATCATCCAGGCAGAGACGGCGCTCACTGGGCTACGTCCCATGTGCAGTCAGGCTGCGCCTGTCTCCTGCTCTGCTTCCCCTTGATCTTTTCTGACCTTTTGTCCATGATAAAAACCACACATTCCTGACCCATGCCTATTGTTGAGGGAGAGCTGTGGCAGGAGGCAGTGCAGAGTGACTTAGACAGGTGGGAGTGACCTCCTGGGGCAGTAGGCAAGGGAGGGTCCTGGAGAAAGGACACTTGAACGACTAAATGAGATGCTGAAGGTGCTGGGATGGCAGCTGCACCTGTGTTTCTGAGCAGAGCCCCAGGTGTAGACTGGTAGTCCCCAGCTGTAGAGAAGCACGTTCAACATTAGAGACTTTGGTGGACTCCCAAAACATGCTCAGCAGTGAATGTTCTAAATCACAGGTTGGCACCCTTTTTCTGTAAAGTCCATGTATGAAACATTTGAGGCTTGTGGGCCAGAGGGTCTCTGTAGCAACTACCCAACTGCTATCATAGTATGAAAACAGCCATGGGCAGTTGTAAATGAATGGCTGTGGCTGTGCTCCTATAAAGCTTTATTTATAAAAACAGGAAGTGCTTATATGCCCAACAGAATTGAAAGCAGATCATCAGTAGATGTTATACACCCGTGTTCATAGCAGCATTTTTCTCAATAGCCAAATGTAGAAGTGACCCAAGTACCCATTAGTGGGTGAATGGGTAAACAAAATGTGGTCCACCTGTGCAATGGAATATTACCTAACCTTAAAAAGGAAGGAAATTCTGACACCTGCTACAATGGGATGAACCTTGAGGACATCAGGTTAAGTGAGATAAGCCAGATACAAAAGGGTAAAATGATTCCACTTATATGCGCTACCCAGAGTCATCAAGTTCATAGAGACGGAAAGTTGAATGGTGGTTGCCAGGGGCTGGGGGAGGAAGGAATGGAGACTTAGTGTTCAATGAATACAGAGCTTCAGTTTGGGGAGATGAAAAAGTTCTGGGGATGATAATGGTGATAGCTATACAACATTGTGAATGTATTCAGTCCCGCTGAACTATACACTTCAAAATGATTAAAATGGTAAAAGTAATGTAAATATTGCTGCAATTGAAAAAATTAAGATAAAGAACAAGGTGGGCCAGATTTGGCCCATGGACCATAGTTTGTTGACCCCTGCCCTGATTGAATTAGTGTTTTATTAACCACAGCATGTGTTTAACAGACAGGCTTTGGGAGGACAGTGTAGCCCCCCTGCTCTGAGGATGTCAGTCAGTGGTCTGCAGGCAGTGCCTTGGCGCCAGTGAATCAGGGCCTCTCGGTGTCTCAGCTCCCTCCCCGGGATCTGGGCCCTTCTTCCTTCTCTCCTTTTCTTCTCTTTGCAGTATTTCTAGTATGTGGCAACCCTTTCTGTCCCGGGCCTTGCATCAAACTGTCTGGCTTATAATTTGCCTGACTCTCAAATCTTTGGTTGTGAGAAAGAAATGTGGCTGCTTCCCATGCCCTCAGTCCTGCTCCATGGTGACCAGAGGGTGGATGGCGGCACACAGAACCTCAGAGGGACCCGGGGGCCACTTTCAGATTGAAGAATGGCCAAAGACCTGATCCCTATTTTTTTTCTGAAACAGATTCCAGCTTCTTCTGCAGCTGACTCTGTAAGGGCAGGAGGACAGCCCTGGCTGGTGTCCCTTGTCCCCTATGTTGTGAGTGGTCCTTCCCAGGCCCTCAGCCCCCATGCTAGGCTGGACATGTTTCCAAACAGAGGGGACACTGGCCACTGCTGCCCCTGGGGGTGATTTGCCTGGTTCGCTTGGTGATGACCATCTGTCCTTCCCTTGGATTGCTCGAAGAGAACAACTCTCAAGCTCAGACCCTTTGAGGCATTGCTAAGCATGGTCACGGTGGCCTAGAGGCAGGGGGCCGGATGGCGTTCAGATTGACCTTTGGAGAGAGGGTTGGCTGCCTCTGGCCTGTCTTGGCTGCCCTAAGGCCAGGTGCTGCCCTGAATGGCTTACAGAGCTGCCTTGACTTAGGTCTGCTTAGGGTCAGCAACTCCACAATTAATCCACTCTCTTGCCAGCAAATTTGATTCATCTATGAGTTTCCCCACATCCCTGAATAGGAATTGACTGGAATGCCCAGAGGTAAAAGACCAAAAGTTGTGAAACATCTCCCAGGGATGGTGGCAGCCTATAAGCGAACATGCTGATCAAACACTGCTGTAAATTAAGACTCCACAATTGCTTCTGTTGCTAAATAACAGCTCTGGCATTCTTTAGGAGGAGATTTTTGACATATATAGCAATTAACTTTGTTGAAGAAGTGAGCAAGGTGATTTATCTGTAGGAGGATAAATCAAAGTGCTTTTGTGCAAAATAGGGCAGAAATAATGAGGTTTATGATGGCAGAAACATGTCTTGAGGTAGAAAATGAACTGAGAATCATAATTGCAGAAAGCCATTTATTGAGCACTTATTACCTGCTTGGTGCTCTGCTAAGCTCTTCATATATATTTAGTAAGTCTTAGAGCAACCCTTCAAGGTGGTAGTTACTAATCTCATAAGGAAGGTGAGACTCAGAGAGCATCTCAACGCCAGTTCATCCTACAGGAAGGGGTCAAGTGGGAATGCAGACCCAGATTTCACCAAAATCCAAAGCATTCTGGACCTGGTGAGGAATGGAGGAGGCTTAGAAAGGAGCCAGACAGAGAATTCCAGCTCCCTGTACCAGCAAGCATTTGCTGAGCACCCTCTAAACTAGGCACTATGTGGATGATACCTACTGATATTTCGTGACTATCATAGTATTCAATATTCTGTGGTTGTATGTGACAGAAATGCCCTGGAACAAGCTTCAGTGGAAAAGGAGGGTCTTCATTTCAAGGGCAAAGGGGTGTCTCCTGAAACCCAAGAACAGGAGGCAGCCAGGCTGCCGGGCTTGCTGGAAATGAGGGCTGATGTGTTGTAAAAAGTCTGGAGCGTTCTCTTTGTACAGATCTGCTTTATCTTCTGGTGGAAAGATGTGAAAATAGCCACTTATAGCATCCACATCCCTTCACATCTCTGCCTGGGCTGTTCAACTTCCTGGGGTCAGGCTGTGGCAGACAAATGGCTGTGAGTGAAGCGGGGGCGGCTAAAGGTTGTTATGAGTGGGGCAGACTTTTAGTCCTCCTTAACTCCAAGAGCTAAGTAATTTTATCCGCATTTTACACATTAAGATTACCAGGGGTTAAATATCCTTGGCCAAGATCACAAGGGGAAGGGAGTGGGCAGAGTTTGCGTCAGGTTTATCTGACTGAAAACCAGTGCTCATGATCTCTACATATCACAGTTGTCACAAATGCACCCTTTAATCAGAAGCTGGAAAAGAAACTAGGATGATTTAGCCTGAGGAGGACAACTTGAGGGTCTGTATATTGGTCCGACTTCCTTTAAAGAGCTATGCATTCAAGGATGGTGACCAACTAGCTATTTTCAACAACTAGTGAAAGTAAGACACAGGTCTTGTGAGAACAATGTCCTGATACTCAAGGGTCATCAGACATGAGGGCCTATCGGTGCTACAGGGTGAGCCAGGGAGGGCCAGCCAGTCCTGAAGGCCACGGCCATTGCCTCTCGAGGTTCCTTCCAGCCCTCAAGTTGAAATCTGTCTTGACAAACTGCACTTGGCAGGAAACTGGGACACCCTGGGGGTTTGAATGTTCTCGTCTGACCTTTCCACAATCCCCAAGCAGATGGATCTGCGTGTTTTCCTTGGCTCCTTGTACTTGTGAGTGAACATTCATTCTTAGATATTTCAGTTTACCCATGGGGTGGAGAGGAAGGAGTTTTTTACAAATGAATATTTTGGTGTGGACCTGACTTGACACTAACTTAGCTACTTCAGGGATGCTTGACCCAAAATGAACATTAATCCATGTCTAAAAAACTTGGCCAAGATAGTACAAACTTATAGTGATGTGAATTTACCACGAGATTTGGGGGACTGCATGCTTTATCAGCAATATTACCTCCTGTTGCTTACCCAAAAAGGAGTATCTAAATCTGCCTTCATGTTCATAAACACTGAACAGGTACCAGAGATGTGACTGGGGGAGCATAGTGGAGGGTACGTTTCCTATGAGAGCAGAATGAACCCCTCAGAGAAAGAGCTGGTTGTGGGATGGAGGATTTGGGAAGCTGTTTGTAAGACTGTATTAACTGATGATATTCTGCTTCTTGTTTTGCAGATTGGAAACCTCGAAAATTACTACCATTTTTATCATAGCAAAACCTTTAAGAGATCGACTTTGAGTAGCAGAGGCCCTCACACCTTCCTCAGAATGGACCCCCAGGTACAGATCTCTGCCCCTGGGGCAGGATACTTTCCTAAGGCCTAGAGTGCTGTTTGCTTTTTTGTTTGAGTCTGTAGTTCTACGCATGGCTGGGTCTGGATTTTCATGGGATTCTAGATAGCCGTTGGTTTTCCATATCCATCTCGAATACAGCAAGGCAGATGTTTAGCTACGCATCAGACCGTCTGAGAACTCCAAGTCCTTGGGTCCCCTGTCAGACTTGAGAATTTAAATTCTTGTCTTCAGTTGGAAACAACAATTAAGTAAGGTTAGATCTGCTGACATTTAAATCTTTAAAAAAATCAACAAAATACTGAGTAATTAGAAGAGATAAATATGTGAACCTTACCATAAAGGCAAAAAGCTAGCTGGTTGAAACTAGTGTTTTAGTAATGAAATGAGAGATAGGGCAGATGGGTATTTTTGTGGTTGTCCTAACACATATCCTAATGGTTACCATGAGTTTAAAAGCCTGGGTGGTAATCATAACTTTTTTTCCCTTAAAAATGCATGTGATCTTTGAGATTATAACAAATGTAATTTGGAGGAGAGGCTCCAGGGTTCAACATTTCAAGTTTTAACATAATTTGTACTTATTGGGTGTTAATTATAATGTCCTTTCTGCATGGATCTAAGATTACTATTTGACAAATATTAGTCAACAGATCCTCGGTCCAGTTAAAAACTTAAGATGGTCAAGTGAGCCTTTGATGACTTCAGCAGGTGTTCTATGTGTCGGGCTCTGGCCATTGAACGGCAGGTAGGGCTGACAAAAAGTGAAGCAGTCAATAGAATACTATGTGACGTATCACAGGGCCATGTGTGCTCCGGGGGGAAATGAAATTCATGCAAGAAGCAGTAGCAGCCCCAACAAAGAAACGGGGCCACTGGGAAATGGTAGTTTTAGAATATGGATCCACCTTCCCTTCAGAGCAGGGTGCTCATTGTTAGTTTGGGCTCCCAAACTGGCACACAATAGTATTTCTACTATTCCCAGAGAATATTTATAATAAAGTTTCCACGGAGAAATGGATTCTTGCTTTTGTCCCAGGCTGCTCCACTGGGCTGTGATGAGGCACCTATGTATATATTCTGAATTTATTTTATAGGTGGGTAGGTGGCTAGGGGGATGGATGGATGGGTGGGTGGGTAGACAGAAAGGTAGATAGATTGAAGGAGATAGGTATAAAACATTATGCTAATCCCATTGTTTCTTCTCTGCAGAGAAAGGAATGTAATGTTTGTCAAGGGACTACTGTGTGCTTGAGCACTCTGATAGATAGCATTTCACCTGACAGTGGGGCTGTGATTATTACCTCTATTTGTTCACACCACGGAATTTGAAGGAATATTTTTCAAAGGGGCTAGCATATTTTTTTCTCCTCTTGGAAGCAAAGCCAGGTTGTAGTTGCTGATTCCCACAGAGAGGGGTAGTTGGAGAGGTCAAGCGGACCCCATGCTTCTATCAGTGTAAAACAGAGTAGACTGCAGGCTGCTCACCTGTGGGTCCTGTGCAGGGCTGAGGTTCACAGTGGTCCCTCTTCTGTCAAAGTGTGGAGAAACTTCTGAGCTTGGAAGGGGGTTGCTGCGGCCCTCTCCAAATGTCACTTCAGGCAGGCAGCGCTCTCTATCTTGTGAAGACAACAACTTGTTCTTCATCTGAAGTCTTTGGAGTTGTTAAATTGTTACCGCACAGATAGTTGCAGCGAGGGGCAAGCTGGTTGCATTGAGGAACCCCTGTCCCCCAACATAAGTCTGCAATGAGAAGATGATGGGACAGTGGATTTGTTAGTCCCCTTTCCATAGGGGCTTCTAAGAATTAAGTTGTCTCAATTCTTAGACCTAAGGCAGAGATGAAATAGGACGTGTGTTTTGTTCTCTTTTTCAGTAACTAAATTTTAAAACTTTCAAAGATATTAAACTCGATGGTTATTTCCTTCCTTCCAAAAATATTAATTGTGCACCTGCTGGGTGTGAGGCCCTGTGCCCCAGGGGATGCAGAAATGCCCACCCAGCAGGTCTCTGCCCTGAGTGAGCCCCCAACAGAGCAGGGCATGGGAGCGCTGGGTGTGAGATTGCGGGAAGCGGCAGAGAAGGATTCCAGGCGGCTTGAGCACCCAGGGTGGGCGTGCCCCGGACCCACCCTCTCCCTAGCACCCGAGGTGCTGAGCTTATACATTTCAGGTACAGTCAGAGCACTATATTTAGGTTGGGTCTGAGGGCAAAATATTCCCAGTAATCATATGTGGCCTTAAAGGAGAGAGAAGGAAGAATAGACTTCCTAGGCAAAGGCTATGGCGGTTAAGTTTTGTCAAATAAAAATCCCTTTTATACAGAGCTTCTTGATAAGCTCCTGGCAGGGCTACTATCAAAGCATCCTTGCCAATAAAAGAGAGAGAGAAAAGGTAAACAGCCTGCTCCTTCCAGCCCTGCCTGTGACTTGCATGTGATTGGCCAATTGTTTCTCACAGTTCTAATTAAATTTTTAGCCCCAGGGAAAGCATATAGACATCTGAACCAATTATGAATTCAGAATCACAACTGAAATACCTCTGTTTAAATCAGTCTAGTTTAATGCAAACCAAATCAATTAGCTGTCAGTCTGATTAATATTTACTCTGCCTAGTCATTCTGATTAAATATCGGGCAAAATGAGCTCTTTTACAGGAGTATTTAGTGTTATCTTCCCTTGCAGGGCACCAGAACATTCTCCACATTAGCACAGCACATTTCTGACACCTAAGCATTTGGAGAGTTGTGTAATTAATATTATTAAGGAAAGGAAAAGATGATTTAATATTATTCAGAGACATTGGAATGCAAAGTCGCCTTAGTGTTTGAATGACCGAACTAGAAATGAATGTTACAGGGTTTAGGATGAAGTTCAATCGAATGCAGATGGTATTTTATTTTAATTAGCTCCAGTCCCTATTGTACAAAAGTGCTTTGATAAATGATGGAATTTACAATCCACCCTTACCTCACATAAAAGTTGATAGAGTGTACATTTGTTAAAACACAACACAAATGTGAAGGGAAGATTTAAGACTTGTTTAGTCACACACACGCATTTATTAAGCATCTTTTGCACAGATCCTTTACCAGAATTGTTCAGTCCTTCTTACATTCTTAATTACCTTTTATTTGATGTTTTTGTTTTTTTCTACCATTTTTGAAAAGGGCCATTTTGCTCAGGGTGCTTTGTTGATCAGCCCTCTCCTTGGGAGAACAGCCTGCCTGTTCTCAGCGTGCGGTATCAGTCACTGGGTTTTTTCAAGGGCTGTCATTTAAACAAACTGAAAGCATTTGTTGTTAACTTGTTCTTTTGCCAAAAGTCTGGAGAAGGGTGGATGTTACAGATGCATCGGCCAATAGCTGTAAGGACTCACAAATTTTTTTAAAATTACTTGTTCTGGTTATGTTCCAAGCTGGCTTATAGTTCGGTATTGCTGTCTGCATCTTCCAACCCTTACATTTTAATATGATGACTGGTTCAGCTGTTCCCTTCCCTTCAGTTCTCAGCCAGATTGATGACGGAAATGGAAAGATAAAGATATTGTTAGGGAGGCCCTCAGTGGCTCCTTCCGGGGCGGAGGGAGCCTTCAGTCTGAGGCTTCATTTCAGCTTTGAAGCTCAGAAGTTGGGAAATGATTTCCAGGACCAGAGTAGGTGCTCTGTTTTGTAGGATGGGACTTTGCCCCCAGAGTTTAATCAAAGCTCAGGTTCCTTTCCAGCTGTGATGCAACGTTTAAGCAGATCTTTCCATTAACCACAGATGGAACTTTATCTGACAGTTTCGTGTGCTAGAGCCATTCAGAGTGCAAACAAACAAAAAGTTCCTGGCAAATGCAAGGACATAGGCAGTAAGTGACCCAGCTGATCTCGGGGTTGATGAACTCGTAATGGGCTGGGGGCAGGGGAGGGCTGCTGCCTGGGCTCGATGGATTTGCCCACATGGGGATGGGGGAATCTCCAGCTGTTGCTTCACATTCTCAGCACAACTGGGTGCTGTGGAGTGGCTGCTCTGAATTGGTGAAAAGTTAGAACTTTTAAAATATATTTTAAAAGGTGGTGCTTTATTATTTTACAAGCACTCAGCACTCCCACTTAGACACCTCAAAGTCAGCATACCTGCCTCTGACCCCACCTCTGTCTCAGAGAGATGCACCATTGGCCATCTGCATTTCCTGGCCTGAGCAGCTGCCCCTCTTGTGCCACACTTGTCCCCTCATCACCTCAGTGCACAGTTCTCCCACCTGCACCCCTGCTCCTGTCATCTGCCCCCCTGGACCACTGTACTGCCCTCCTCACTGGCCTGCTGTGAGCATCCTTGCCCACCCCCCCCGCCACCCCAATGTGCTTTCCTCCTTCTTGAGGGCCTATGAAATGCACATGTGATGCCATCACCCCTTGGGAAGTCCCGCCCAGGAGCCTGGTCTGCCCTCCCTGTGGTCCCTGGACCCCAGCCACACTGGCCTTTAAAAACCCTCCTTGGGTGATGTTCACTTTTGCTCCCCTTGCACAGCCTGTGCACAGACTCCTTCCCACTCGGTCTGTCTCCTCCCCACTCTCCCGTCCAGGCTCCTGAGTCCCTGCCACCTGGCAGCTGGCTCAGCGTCCTCGACATGACTTGCCCTTCCTAGCAGTTGTATGTTTATAGTCTAGACTTATGACATTATTCCCTTAGCATCTGTCTTCCCCACTGGACTCCATGAGCAGCAGAATCAAATCCATTTAGCTCACCGATCTTGTCCTGGCATGACCCTGGCAGTG